CATTCTGTTTTTTACCAGCACCCGCACGAGAGTAAGGGGAGTATTGCATTGGGGTCGAAAAAGACCCTCCTCCACTTTTTTTTACGAAAATACACGTTTTGAAACACCAGGAACCATCGTGCTAGCCACAGAAAATTTGTTAATTTGTTTTTCGAACTCTATTGTAGTTAATTTTGAATTAGGTGTTAGTTTGTATATACCTTTCAAATGGTACTCAAGTCAAAAAATAGCCTTAAAAATGTGATAAAAGAAAATGATTGGATTGCCTTTATTTTGGTGCTAATAATGTTCCAAAGCATTTCCAATTATATGTCTACATTCGAAGTCGATACCATCAAGGCACTATCTATCGCAAAAAATATTCAAACAAATGTTAATTGTGTACAACTCTACGGTATATGATGCAAAAAGAATTAAGCCCTTAGAGAAATGCCCCGAAATGTTGCATTTTCCCTTTGTAGGTACCTTCCTCCAACATTTTCGAGATATTCACAACTAAATTCGTCAATAGATCTATCTCGTCTAGATGATATTTGCGAGCTCTGAGACTACCCTCCCCCGAAAGTCCGTTCTGCAGATATTCGTGGTATTCGCATTAAAGGTTTCAACAATAGGAACTGTTCTCTACCAACTATCGGGAGTGTCGGAAGAGGGTACCTACTTTCAAAGGGCGGAAATGAGACATATCTCCTGGGAATCTGAAAACTTATAATTGTGAATATCTCGAAAATGTTTTAGGCAAGTACCTACAAAGGAGAACAAATATGGAGGAGGACTTGATTAATCTTGCATTATATAGCCTAGATTTTTAATGTATGCCAAGCGGTCTTTAAATGCTTATAGTGTCTCCTTCTCATTGATCGACTAGCAAGAAGGTAAATAGCCATAAATATACGATAAAAAATGGTGCACTACTCCGTGTTTCGTGTCTCGTGTTTGGTATTAATCAGTAATCAGAACCCGAAAACGGTAACAGCTGTCGATTTCGGGCATATGATCCATAATCAGGGTAGAGCATTTTCCCAATAGGGTACTTATCGGATTCTTTTCTATTTCTAAAATATGTCTATACGCTAGTGGCGTGCTGTAGTTCAGTGTTGTACCAAGCTTATTTAATTGAAGAATTGGAAAGTACTTGAAGTCTACTTATTTTTTTATGGAACATATTATACCCTTCACTTTAACGGTTTCGCTGTTATTTTTTCGAATTTTTTTTGAGAGAAGACAAATCCCACCGGAAGTTTTTGAATTGCGGCATAGGCGTAAGACTTCTTCGGTCTTCCACTTTCACATCATTTATGATTGACTTTCCCCAAATGTTATATTTTGAAAATTTCAATTGGCACTTCCTAATAGCCGGAACTACAACATTTTTACTAATATAAAAAAAACCAGCGAGGCCAGGTTGCGTTTAGGCCACCAACAGGAAGGTCGTCATTTCGAACGTTTGCAAACTCCTCTGTTCGTGTGTCAATTTCACTTTAGTACTTTTTTAATAAACATGTTAACAATATGTATATATTTTTTATTTTTTGAAAAATGGATGACCTGGGTTCGGTAAAAATTAAAAATTGTGGTTTCGACTCGTTTTTCTCTTAAATTTTTTTGAGGGAAAGGGGAGATTTCGACTATCCAAAGCTGTAGTGTTTTTCGTTCTCATGACAAAGTGTACTGATATATTATTTTATACTTGCATATCCACCTTCTTCAAGTACTTTCCAATTCCCCAATAACATGCGGGGTGTTCCATAAAAAAAAACCGTTTGATACGCCACTCGAATTGAGCACGCTAGTGGTAACCAGAAATATTTTAGAAACATGACGATGGCCCTTGTCCTAAATTTTTTTCGATATCTTTTACAGTAAGGGAATTATGATACAAGGGCTCCTAAGATGCTACATATGGAATATGAAATTTGGTTGTCCATCCTGGCTCGAAATGGGGTTCCAATTATTAAATAGGTAAACGGATTATACCTTCCCCATGAAATTTAATAATAGTTATATATAATCTTATAAAAATACGATTAGTTGCGACGTTTCAGTCATCTTCAGGTGAAAAACTAGAGTAAAAATATACATCACAGTACGAATTTTTTATAATGTATATTTTTTAATCTAGTTTTTCACCTGAAGATGACTGAATCGTCGAAACTAGTCGTGTTTTTATAAGATTATATTATATAACTATTATTAAATTTCATGGGTTTATATCTAAATAAATGTATCTAAACATAATTATGGATTCCGATTCTATACATTATAGGTTCTGATTGTTGAGAAAAAATTAAATTATGTACATTTTAGGGATTTTGATGGCGTATCTGTCAAATGAAGCAGTTTGGGCCTTCGGTTTATGTGGAAGAGGAAGTCATAGATTCATTTTCATCCTCATAAATTTTTGCCGAGGTTAATATTTTTCAGCACGCTCTTTTACGGACCGTAGGGGTCAAACACTGTACCACCACAGCGCACGAATTTTTGTTTGCAGTTTTTTCGAATAGTGGAAAACGTGCCAAATTTTATCGGGACTTATTTTTGTTCTGCCGTTTGGAGGTGCACCATCTCGGAGTAGAAATTTGGGGATTTTTTACAAAATGAGAAGCGGAAATACGTGAAAACCTAGGTACAGCCTCAAATTATCTCTATCTGTTGTGGTCCCTGAGAAAAAACATTTTAGGACAACTAAATCAGGAGCGAATACAGAAAGCTCTTTGGGTGAGAGAAAAGACACAACATAAAAAAATTCGGTAGTTTTCCTCATCCTAATTCGGTAATTCGCTATGTGTATCAGCCTCGATTGGAGAGTTTGCTGGATGGAAAAGATAGATATTATTTCCCTCCATATTTTGCATATACGACTATAAAGTATAGTGAACATCTGAAATCAAGATTTCCTGCATTATAAATTACTTTCCTATATCAGTGATGTCAGTTTTCAACTTTGAAAGTAAACAGTGCCCGTTCTTTGTCACTGACATATCTCTGTTGTAAATAACTATTTTCTGGTATTGTTTGCTCAGTCATAAGTTTACGCGGAAAGGGAAAAAAGCTCTATTTAATCATGTAATCATGCAATATAGAGCATGTTTATCAAAAGGGAGGCTCATATTTCAGTGACCATCAGCTTGAATGCCATTTCATTTTTGGGTATGCGTATGAGGGACTTTCATAAATTACTCATTTTCTCTTAAGTTGCTTAACGGAGTTGAAGTAAATAATTTTAGAAAAATGTGTGCTTTATTCATCTTATTCTTTTCATGAAAAACGATATGATTGAAAGGAACTTCATATCACCGCATACCTCCAAGTAGTAACATTTCGCAGTTTCTAAGTTGTTTATGCTGGGAATACCTTCAGTTTTTATCGGATTTTTCCTTTGACTTTATGGTGAAAATGAATCTAAAAGTTGGCCTATTCATGTGATGAGATTTGATTTCGTGTGTTAGTATACAAAAATGGATGAATTTAAGTTTTTCCGTGGAAATTCCTCGATCGATGACGGTCCAAGAAAGGAAAGAATTTCAAATTGGCTCATTGGAATGTTTAGGATAAAAAATTGATGGATTCCGGCCTGAGACTTGAGATCTTCGTTAAGGTTTTTCGAGGAAATCGATCGAAGATTTCTTTTCGGCGTGAAAGCGAAAAAAAGTGAATTGCAAAATGTGTGTCAATAGTTTGCTAATTATTCCAAGAAGATGTAACGCGCGCGTGTTGGAAAAAAAAGTTAAGTAAGAACAAGTATGACTATTACCGCGCGTAAAAGTCAAGGTGTATGTCACATTCATCTCTTTTTATGCGGCTTAATCCGCTATTAACAAGTCATCAAGCTCCCCTGAAGTGTCCAATTGTGGCGAACTCTTAAAAAACCACTTGCAAAACACAATAGGCGTTTTAATACACAAAAGAGGTATTGTTGGTTCTGGTCGTTAGAAGTAACCACCGAATATCGCACGTGTCTTGTCCCATTCTGAGATGCCATTGGTTCACGGGGACCCGCAAGGTACGATAATATACAGGTAGAGGGTGGTCATCCTTTTCAGTCTTTCGTACGACTCCTTTCCTGCAAGAAGTTTTTAGAGAGAATATGTGCTTTGTGTGCGTTGCCTTGGATTATGTCCGTTTATTAATTAGCATCGTTTTGTAGTGTCTGCGCGTTTGTTTAATTGTAAGTATTTTACATAAACAAGTTCTTGGTGTTAATTTTTGGAAAAGCGCTCGAGGCTGAGTGTTCGTGTATGCAATAGGTCACATCCACGTTTTAACAGACAGCGCGGCGCGGCTTCCTTAATTGGAAGATCAAGTTGCTATACACAGTTGTTGCGATTCTTTTTGTTTCACTTTTGCCTTTACTAAAATCGGCAGGAACATTTCTTTGGTACCCACAGGTAGAAGAGGGTCGTCTCGTTCGAAGGGATGCGATTTTGTGCAAAATTACGCAACGCGTTTAGACGTGCAGTTTTAAATTTTTACAAGACAACTCTCGTTCTTGACGATCTTTTTAGTACGTTACGTAAGTGTAAAACGCGCTTTTTATGGAGGTGATTGAGAGGCAGTTTGTGTCACATAAAAGTTTCGTGTTGGGAAATTGGCTCGAAGGACCAAGAGTTTAATTGCACCATTTTAGTAATTGTGTTAAAATCTAATATTTTATTTAAATAAGTACGATGTTTTGGACTTGCAGAGACCGCGTGTCAGCTTTCTCTGCTGGCCACGAAAGGTGAACCAGTCCTCGGCTCGCTTGACCTCTCCACTGCCATGCTGCGCTAGCTAAGACACATGCCATACTCATTATAGGTTAATTTACTCAATTTGTGTTTTGTATTATGTTGTAGAACGTGCATCTTGACCTTAAAGTCAAGTGTTAAAAATTGAAATTAAGAAGCATTTAACTGGTCCCGCTACAGTAGTAGAAAGATCGCGTTCCTTCTCCGGTCGGTCACCGATTAGATTGACTTACGCACTTTTTACGATAATGACATAGTCTTCTTTTGTTACAGGGGCGATTTTGACCATGCGACTGGTAAGCCTCTCGTGGCTGCTGGCAATGGTCCTTTTGGACAGCACCTGGTGGACGTACTCCTCTTCGGTACCACAAGAAGCGCTAGCAGAAGTCGAGGCGAATCTCCTGTCTCTGTTTGGTTTTCGCAAACGACCACGAATTGATCGATCGAAAGTTGTTATTCCTCAAGTAATGCTCGACCTGTACAGGAAGCAAACTGGCCACAGATTGGATACGGCGTCAATTCACCGACCCGGATTACATACCAAAAGTGCGAATACCGTGCGAAGCTTCACCCATATCGGTAAGTCAATATACGGATTAATTCCAAATCTTGGGCGCGTGGGCGATTTAATTTCGTTATTTAATGAACGTTGTTGTATAATTGCGAGACCGTCCCACTTTCGCTACACTGTCAACGTAACGAAAGCGGATTTATTCCAGCACGTTTTCCTAATCTAACTGCTTGTTGCAGAAAGTCCAGTCGATACCAGATTTCCCGGACACCACAAGTTTCGTCTCAAGTTCGACATTTCGAGCATTCCACCGGGCGAAAAAGTTAAGGCCGCCGAGCTGACTGTCAATCGGGACGTGATCGATTGGATCTCCGGATCGGACCAGGACTACTATCAGCAAATCCTTGTCAACGAGATCGTCAAACCTGGAGTTAAAGGCAAACGGGGGCCGATTATGAGGCTGGTGGACTCGAAAACCGTGGACACGCGAAATGGCGGTTTCGTTAGTTTAGATGTGCTTCCAGCCGTTGGGAGGTGGTTACAGACTTCTTCTTCCAATCACGGTTTAGTGGTGTATATCGCCGGTTTTGGCAAAAACAGAACTGTGCCGGCAAGACATTTGCGTTTACGCAGAGACGTTGGGGAAAGTGATTCGGTGTGGTCCGCGAAACAGCCGTTGTTGTTCACCTATACGGACGACGGCAAAAATAAACAATTGACGGGTGACGCGTTGGCGCAAAAACGCTCTCGGAGGGCGATGAACAAAAAACATAGACGAAAAGAAGTGCCGTGTAAAAGACATCCAATGTACGTGGACTTCAACGAGGTGGGCTGGAGCGATTGGATAGTGGCGCCGCCGGGTTACGACGCCTACTATTGTCACGGTGAATGCAATTTCCCCCTGGCCGAACACCTGAACACCACCAACCACGCGATAGTACAAACCCTAGTGAACTCGGTAAGTCCAAGTAAAGTCCCAAAAGCGTGCTGCGTACCAACACAACTGAACGCCATCTCCATGCTGTACCTGGACGAGGAGAACAAGGTGGTGTTAAAAAACTACAAGGAAATGGCAGTGGTCGGGTGCGGATGTCGGTAATGACCCTCTCTTCCGACACAATTTTCTTACTGTGATCCCAACACATCGGAGGCTACCAATAGATTTAGTGGTGAATTCAAGAACTAAAGTGCGTAACGCGCGAACTTTAAAAAACTGAGAAACGGCCCGACATCCGTTTTAACTACGTGCTTCTGGCAATTTAAGTGCCGAGTGTTGTTCTCATCTGTGATCCTTAATTTTAAATTTTCTTAACCGAGCGAGGTATTACGATTTGTGATACCGAAACCAGTTAGAAAGAAAACGAAGTCAAGTGTAATATATTAGTACCTGGCTAAGGAGTATTTATTTAATAACTTTATGGCAACTGTGTATATTGTAAATAGCGATAAACCCCCTGTATAAATAGTTAAGAACCGATTTGTAACAAGATTTTGTACAGACTGTATATATTAAATATTTTATTCTAATATCGATGATTTTTTCCGTCGGTCAAGCTACCTAAAGGTAAGGGCCCAATTATAGAGAGGAGAGTGCTCTTTTTAACGAGTTGGAGTAATGACACGGCCCGACGCCGCACCGGATGCTGCCTTCCAAATCTTAAAATCACCGCGCTGTCATGGCGATTTGCCACCCGCAGATTAGGATGAGCCCTCCGCCTTTTTCTCTTAAAAATCTTTAATTATAAAAATTGAGCCGCGCGCGGCAAAATTAAAGAAAATTTGTAACGATTCAAAAAAATTCCCGATTCTCGCGTTGACAAGCGAGAAATTTCGTGTTTTACGCCTCTTTTTAAGTAGGTAGCTTTTAATGTGACTTTTATAGACTTAAATCGGTTCCACGCTATTCAAAAATTTAACACTCCAATCAAGTTCTTTCAAAGCGTTTCAATTAACGGCCAAAAAAACCACAGAAGGCGAACCGTTTGGGTTTTTTGCGCTTATTATGTGGCGCAAATTTACTAAGGAGGTTCCCTTTCTTTGATTATATAACGACAAACCACAACGGGAACTCGTCTAAGAGAAAACCGACTAATCTAACCATTAAATTCGACCTTACCTTGCTGCAGGAACAAACTGTCCTTCTACCCCCTCCCTCCTTTGAATTTTTATTGTGATTTCACAAAAGAATTAGATTCAATTGAAGATGTTACGATATCAATGCAAATTTTGTTTTACCGCAAAATAATGCACGCCAGGAGATGAACCTCTTTGTGTAATAATAGGTTGATTTACTACTGATAAAGAGTGTGTTTCAGGTAAAACCAGCACTATTACTCATTTTCTGATGATTAGTCGTAGGTTACATGAGTTAATGGGAAAGATTTTTTGGGGTTTCATTTTCTTTGAAAATATGTTATAATATACAGAACGTTCCATTTAAAAGACCATTCAATCCAATTGTTTTCCGTTTTAACTACTGTAAAACTCAGAAAAACCGACGTAAATCCAATTGTAAGAAAGTTGGCAATATTGTCCACTTTATTTGGACTCTAGTGTAGTACGGATTTCTAACTATAGGGTACGTTTTTAGAGCATTTCTCACAAAAAATAGCAAATTTTAGGTGTGGCCTGTCAAACCATGATTCTGAGGGTTTGAGATCTCGCTACTGACATTGCGGTCAAGCAGAGTGAAATGATAATAACTCCTTGTATACAGTTTACCGAATTATTAATTTAATACGTTCTGAGAAGTACGGAGGAATTTTGCAGAAAAGGTCCCGGGTTTGTCTAATACAGTTCTATCGGCAAAAAAAGTTGCCATACTTCTAACAATCGTCCTCCTCAAAGATGGAACCCAGCCTGTCTCTTCCCATCTGCCCTTTTGAATCGCATAATGCGTAACCCTAAAAAACGTGACGTAGTCTTTTTGTAGAATTCTTTACAAGAGGCAGATTGACGCATAGGCACTCACAAAGTCAGGAATTGTCTTCGAAAAATCTTCCTACAATTTCCTGCAGTTTTCTTAGGATCCTGTTAGGACTTTATGATCATCTTGGAATGTTTTCTTAGAATATTTTGCAGATTTTCATAGAATTCTTTTAGAACCTACTTGTCGAATACTTAAACTTTTAGAACGATTAGAACTTTTTACGTTTCCTTAGATTGTTCTAATCTTGTTAGAATTTTTTGAGACTCCTTTTAGGATCTTTCCAAATCACCTCGAAAATTTTGTTTCAATTTTATTTATTTATTCAAATTAATATTCGTTTAGAATTGGGAAGGTATGTGCAGCATTTCGGCCCGCAAATTGCTCCATTTGAAAACACGCGATTTTTGAAACTTCTCGCGAATAAAAACATCGAGTGCGAGCTTTTTTAAAATCGTGGGCAAACGACGATATATACCTACATAGAGCAGTGACATTTTTGAGATTAAAACGCACAATAAATGTGGCAAGTCGCATTTTTAACAATAACTTTAAAAACAATAAAATATAAACAAACGAACGGATTTTTTTTTATTCACTATTTTCATGGTAAACAAAGAACCAACACCAAATATTGTAGAGATCATCAGTTTTTTCCACCACCCTGTGCCATTTTATGGTAGCAGTTTAGTAACGTATTAAATATGTACAAAAAATGTGTGCGCATACACGAACGGCACAACAATTTTCCAAAGACATTTTTTCAATTCGGGCTTCTCTCTATATCTTGAGGCCAATTATTAAATAAATAATAAACCACTTTCCACGTCCTCTCAATGCTAATGTGTAAATCCTTCGGACGGAAGGACAGAACTACTATCCCAAGCAGCATAGTTCCGTATAAAAAGTGTGTATAGAAGACTAAAACCCTACGTGTAAAAAACGGAATTATATATTGGCATATAGTACACATAAATGTCCGGCGGATGTTACTATATTCTTGTAGAATATTATGCGTTTATTATTCCCATTGATATACGCTTTCTATGCGTTTACTGCATACGTTTAAATTTCGCATATGGAATATGTAGTAATATTCTTACGCATTGTACATTTATTCGTATTGAATTCGTCGACAAGGTACTGCTAATAAACGTTTATAATAAATGCAATATATGGGCTTGGCAGATCGTACATTTAATCCGCACTTATAATTGCACAAGAGGTTTGTATTTTACCGAGCAAATTTGGGTTGTTTAAGTAATGAATATGAATAGCAATAGCAATTAGACGAGAAAAACTGTCAACTAATAAAAATGCGATACCGAACTGCTCAAAATACTGCTTTACCCCGGCCTAATAACGAGAATATCAGAAAATATAATCATACTATTGTATTAACTTACCAAATACCGCAACGTTTTTGTATGAAGCCATAACCTTAACTATCACACAACTCATAAGCATTAGCAAACTATAAATAATTTTAGGAAGTAGAATTCGTGTCATTTAAATTCGTATTTGCAGGGCAAGTAAGTAAGCCAATATTCCAGTATATGGTAAATTAAAAACGTATTACGTTTGTCAAATTAATTAATACTGAAAGACGTTTATTTATCTACTTATTTTCAACGTTTCTTATACCAGATATAATTTTGGTCCGTAGAATCTGTCTAATTTTTATTCGTATTTTGGAGGAAGAAATCATGGTAAATCAAAGTGTTAATCAAATTGTTGCTAACAGAACGTTTATTTATAAACATATTATTAACATAGAACATGAACTCTATGGTTTATTTATAGTAATAAAAATTGTATTTTAAACGTACGGTATAAATTTGATCTACAAAAAAAAGTATACCATACTACCGATACCGAATATATCCGTTCAAAGCGCATTAAAAAAGTTTTTTAATCGTAAGTGTGTTGACTGGGATAGTACCTAATATATAAATTAATTAGATTTCACCCTAGCCTTTTCTGCAGTCTCTTTTTTTTCAACATGGTTAATTAACATCAACATAAATCGCAATTGTAAGGTAGGTACAATCCAATATTTAGAATGGCAATACCTCCCCACTTGGGTATTTATTTTAATCGATTTAATTTTTTTAATCCACAATGCCATCGATTTTACATTGGAATCGGTACAAATTCGTACTACAGGGGAGCGAGCACAGGGTGGATTTTTTGTGCTCTTTAGTATACGGATGTCTGAAACTAGAAGCTAATTGTAATTTGGAAGCTCATTAAAATAATTTTAACCTGATATTTTTTTTTAATCGGCGGTTTACAAACTTGTGGATACCAACTTTGTTATTTTAAATGGAACTATATTTTTGATTTCCTTATTCGATAGAGAATTGTATTCTGAATTCAGTGATATTTGTACACTGTGAGATAACATTTTTTATGAGAAAAGTGCATGCTTAGATTATTTATTTCATTATAGCTAAAATAAGTGTGCCATGGACGAAACAAATTGAATATGGATTCACATTTTAGAGTGCTGTGACCGAAACAATAGCACTGCACAATTATGTTGTTTATAACTGTCACTTGTTATTTTTTTTTCCTTTATATGGGGGCGGCGTCTACATCTCAGGTAATTGGCTCACCTCCAACGGTTTTGTTATTACATTCTACTTTAGGATGTTTATATTTGCGATTTTTATTTTTCTGTACCTATTTACATTATACATATATGCTTGTATAGGCCCTAAGTCAGTTATGTATTGTCCTGTAAGGTAAGAGATTTGGACATTTTTTGCATAATGGGGGCGACTCTTAATGCATCTGCCTCGTTTTGAGGGTTGTTATTATTGAATTCCTATTGTGTGAATACCGAATAAGCTCAATTTAATAGAAACCATATGTACTCATAATCAAAAAGTTGATATGTACGAAGTGTATTTTAACAAGAATAATACTATTGCTGCGGATATTTTCGAAGATTAGAAGCCAGATACGTGCTAATACAACTGGATTTATTGGAAAATCGAGAACAACAATAAATAATGTAATTGAAATAGATATTTTGATCTATTTTGAAGCAGATCCAATGGCATCTATTAGAATGGGTGCTACCAAGTACCAGTGTAGTGTAGAAAAAGTACATTAAATTTTAAAAAGAAATAAATACTTATAATATTAATATTTTCAAGACAGCAATAATGGACAAAATAAAATGAACTCCCTGTATAGCTTAGCTATGCGGTTCTGGCTTTGGACAATTTGATCACTGCAATCTGCTGCGCTAATGACCCAATTT